TAGTACTCATCTTTCCTACTGCTTTCTGGAGAAGACCTGAAGTTACTGTATTTGTCATGTGTGGGAATAAGATACAAAGACTTTAAAGACAAAGCAGTTAAGAAAAGTTCTTGGTAACCTCTGTACCCAATCTAGACAAGTTATAGACTCTGTCAGTGTTGTTGATCAGTCTTGAAGAAATTGCAGCTTGCGAAACACGTGAAAGGGCTAGCAGGTGGCATAACTTTAGAAGAGTTTTCTGCCAATATTCCTGAAATTATTAAGTGCCCTCAAGGGTTTGTACTGAGTTTTGTATGTGGAGTGTTTCCCAGGTTCTCGAAACAAGGTGAGAGCTCAGTAACTCCATGTAGTGATGGATAGGGGAGTTGTCCTAATATTTAGCACAGAAATACAACTTGAAAATATGTAACGCAAAATTTTTTAATTTATGATTGGATAAGTGAAAGTTATACTTGGAGAGCATGTGGCGTATGATCTAACGCTGTCCCCTCTTGTCTAAGTACTCCTCCGTTGGGGTTTAATCATGGGGTGCTGGAGGCAGAGTTTTTTACCTGAATGAGGGAGGCCCCAGCTCTAGATCTTGCTTTCCTAGTTGATTTGCTGGTTGACTTTCAGTGCAAATTGTTTTATCGGGTTCTTGTCTTCTGGCAGAGATACATAGCTAGGTAGAAGGTGATAACTTTTATTAATTTTGAGGCTGCTTGTTTGCAGTATCTTGCTTTTTCTTAATATTGTCCTAACATTTGCTATGTTGGTTGTGTGGAATTTGTTCTTTCTGTTTTAACCCTCCCAGTATGTATGAAACTTTGCAGAGTAAGAGATTTGCTGTATGAACTCACAGCTCTTTCAGGATTAAACAGAGTATGAACAGGGTATGTAGTGACTGGTGAAAATTGTCAGTGCTTGATTACTGAAACACTCTACAGTCTCAGCAGTCCTCAACCTTTCAGCCTTCAGCCCTTTGCTATGATGCGTCCTACTGAGATGTGATCTTGTGTTGGATTCAGCTTACGCTTGAAGTTTACAGTTCAAGAGATTACTGCGTACTCCTGGAAGCGTGGTGTTAGGTTCAACTTGCATCGTCATGACTCAGCGCTGTGTTGTAGAAACATGAGTACTACAGTGAATGTTTTTGAGCTTGGGGGTCAAGCCCTGGAAAGTAGTAATTGATTTCGTTGATCTTTATGGTGGATTAGTATGCCTTTCCTAGATCTGCATGTCCAATTGTGTTTACATCTCTTTATGAACATACATAAACAGTTTTTGTCTGTTAACATCCTTTCTAAAATAAGCCAAATGATAGCTCTTGGTATTAATTTTTATTTGTAGTTTTTACACCACTTGTTTACTCTTCAAAAAAACAAAAAGCATCAGCTGTCATTGCAAAGCAAAGAGTGTTTTCTAGCCATTTTGAAAAAGAACCAAATTGCCTTTTCTAAATTGCAAACAAAAGCTTTGAAACAAAAATCAGTGTTGGCCTTGAGGAGGAAGGGATGATTCACTAGTACCTAGGATAGGAAAGCTGTCTCCTTAGCCTGATGCAGTGAGAGAAGCTCAGATATATGGCGATATAGATGCCTACCTTGAGCCCTCCAATTAAGAGCTATATTACTTAAAGTACCTGTGTGTTAACTTAGGCTGTTCATATGACTTCATGGGTGATAGTTTAATGTTTGAGAATGGAAATGCTTCAAATGACTGAATTCCCGTGTCTTAATTTATATTTGTCTGTGATATATTATTAAGAAGCTACTAATTCAACTGCTTTTCATTGAAGGGAAAAATGTATTTTCTTTATATCTAATTAGGAATTGTATTTATGTGATGCTTTTATTTGAATTATGTGGGACTTCAGTTTTTCTCCAAATATGCTCAAGAGAAGTTACATATGATTCAGGTTTTGTTCCAGATTGTTTTGGTATTCAGTTTAGCACTGTTTTTTAAGAGGAATGGAAAGTACTGTGAGCCTGGTCTTCTGTAGAAGTCTGGTAATGCGTGTTTTTCTTGTTTCTCAGAGGATAGTCCTGTAGCAGTCTAAGCCAATTTTTAACACTGTTTAGAAAACAGAATGAACATGGTACAACTTCCTAACTGTTAGAAAAAGTTGCATGTGTAATAGTAAGGGACAGCAGAACTATTCATTTGCTTAAGCATGTGTTCACACAGTTAAGCAAGTCTGAACTGCAGTCTGAGGGGAGATCATTTAAAAAAAGAAAATGAAATGTTGGCGATCATTCGAAACAATAAAATTTCAGCATTGGCTATACAGCTTATATTAAAATAGATGAAACCAAATGATTGAATAAAAGTGCATTATTTCAGTCTTACTGGTGTTGTAAACGTGATTGCTCTGTTTTTAATCTGGTCTAGAAAAAACAGAAGCCTGAATTCACTCTTGTTCAGGAAAGTTTTGAATCTGTGCACAAAGTGTAAACCCCTGCTAAATTCCTATTAAAGGAAAGTACCTTATGCACAAATTGACTTAATAAATATGAATACATGATGAAGTGCTCTGCTGAATTAGAACCACCAACACAAGCAGAAAAAGCATTGCTTTTTATATGTTTAAAATGGTAAAGTAACCTGAACAACTGAAAATTATCGCTTTAAGAGGTAAATTCAAGTAATCATTTACAATATAAAGAATTAAGAATGTTTAGTAAAACAGTTAAAGTATTAAGAAATGAGAGTCAAGTCTTACAGTCCATACTTACGCAAACTTCAGGTCCTGCTGAGTTCATTATGAATAAGCATGTCAAAATCTGTCTGCAAGTTATATTTTCCTCTAGCAGGAAAACCTCATTAGAAATTGAGAGAACTTTCTTCATGCAGTCAATAGTTTTGAAAAGAGAGTTGCAGATTTATTTTTATGAATAAATATGCCAATATGGAATTAGATTTTTTTTTTTAAATGAAATTATATTAAAGATTCTGTGAAAAGGTTCTAGAGAATGTGGGCCTGCTGCTGAATGGGATCAGGGACATGGTCACAAAGACCAAGGAGAAGGCTAAGGTGATGAATGCTTTTCTTGCCTCAGTCTTTGCCGAGACCGGCCTTGGTAAGTCCCAGGTCCTTGAAACCAGTGGGAAGGCCCGGGGGAAGGCAGACTTACCCTTGGTGGAGAGGGAGCAGGTTAGGGAATATTTAAACAAACTGGATGTATGAAGGTTCATGGGCCGTGATGGGATGCAGCCACAAGTGCTGAGGTAGCTGGCTGGTGTCATTGCAAGGACACTGTCAATAATTTTTGAAAAGTCATGGTGACTGGGGGAGCTTCCTGAGGACTGGAAGAAAGCAAACATCACCCCTGTCTTCAAGAAGGGCAGGAAAGAGGATCTGAAGAACTAAAGGCCTGCCAGCCTCATATTGATCATATTCCTATTGATAAATATTATAAATAAATACATAAATATGATAAATATGGAAGGTGATGGAGCAAATAAATGTGGAAACCATTTCCAAATGTAGAAGGCCAAGATGGTGACTAGGAGTACTCAGCACGGATTTACGAAGGGGAAGTCATCTGACCAACCTGATAATGTTCTATGATGAGTAGAAGGCTTCGTGGATGTTCTTTATCTTACGTAAAGCCTTTGACACTGTCTTCCACAACATCCTCATTGACAAACTGATGAAGTTAAGAACTAGTTAAGTGGACTGGAAGGTGGATTGAAAACTAAGCAAGTTCACAGGTGATGTGAAACTGGGAGGAGTGGTTGATAGACCAGATGGGGATGCTGCCGTTTAGAAGGACCTGGACAGGCTGGAGAAACGGGCTGACAGGAACCTCATGAGGTTCAACAAAGGGAAATGTCAAGTCCTCCACCTGGGGAGGAATAAATGCAGACACCCGCACATGCTTGGGGCCTACCGGCTGGAAAGCAGCTTTTCAGAGAAGGTCATGGGAGTCCTGGTGGACAAGATGCTGTGAACATGAATGTGAGCCAGCAATGTGCCCTTGTAACAAAGACAAACATCATCTTGGGCTGCATTAGGCAGAGCATTGCCAGCAGGTCAAGGGAGGTGATCCTTCCTCTCTATTCAGCACTGGTGAGACACATCTGGAATGCTGGGTCCAGTTCTGGGCTCCCCAGTACAAGACGACATGGACATACCGGAGTGAGCCCAGTAAAGGACCATGAAGATGCTGAAGGGAGTGGAGAGGCTGAGGGAGCTGGGACTGTTCAGCCTGGAGATGGAAAAGACTCGGGGGGCGGGGGGGGGGGGGGGGGGGGGGGGGTATGATGTATGTATGAATACCTGACAGGAGGGTGCAAAGGAGAAGAACCAGATTCTCTCTAGTGGTATCCAGTGACAAGGATGAGCGGAAATGGACACGAATTGAAATACAAGAAATTCCATTTAAGCATAAGGGAAAAAAAAATCCAAAACCTTTTTTCTTTTGTACAGTGAGGGTTGTGGAACATTGGAGCAGATTTCCCACGGAACTTGTGGAGTTGCCATCTATGGAGATATTCAGAATCTGACTGGACATGGCCCTGGGCAACCTGCTCTAGTGGACCTGAGCAAGGGGCTTGGACCTGATGATCTCAAGCAGTGCCTGCCAACCTCCACCCTTCTGTGGTTCTGTGATCTCTTAGCTCTTTAGAGAGTTGACCCTCAATTGCACGCATTTGTTTTTTGTTGTTTGGTTTGGTTTTGGTGGGTTTTTTTCCCAATGCTCTTTCAATTTGGGAGCATCTGGAGACATACTGATCACTTCACAAAAAAGGTAGTGGGTTGGTTGCAGGTCTGAAGCAACTTTTTATTTGGTATTTTTTTATATATTTCATGGGTGTTAAAATTAGCACATTTCACTTTTTTTCTGCAGTCTGGTTCCATTCTTGCATGTGTGTTTAGTCATACAGAGTGCTAAAAGAGTCTGTATAGATAATTCTGTATTAAATAATACAGAATTTAAAATGGATAACTAATTTAAAATCAATAACGTATATGGTAATAGAGCAAAGGTATAACACCCTCTAACCCTGTCTTTCAGTCGTGGCCTGTATATGAAGAAGTATACAATAAAATGCTTGAGCTTGCAGCGTTTTTAGACCTGCCTCGTTTTCCAGATATAACAGACAGCTGCTTTCTTCATCCAGACATGTTGTGCATGAAGTACTTGATGGAAGCTAATTTACCTGGTAAATATTTTCCCAAACCCGAGCTGATAAAATTTTTCTTTGGTTTATTAAACTCTAGCAAAAAAACCTTGAATTACTACTTTAAAAGTGCCTCCTTTCCCTTCTAATTTATACCCATTTAAACTTGAACCAAAAGATAATTTCTGTAGAAAGTACCTTCATCAAACATTTAGAGGGTGTATTATAGTCCCAGATATGCAGGAGCACTCTGGTGCTGGCTCTCTAAGGCTGTGGAGTGGATACTTCATTTCAAATCTTACAGTATCCATGTGAACTAAGAGGCACTAGTTGAAGTAACTTGATTTATTAACTTTAGCTAAATGATTCGTGAAGTTGGGACCTCATTGCTTAGCACTGGATTGTCATATATAATAGTGAATGTATATTCTATAATTTTGCACATTGGCATTAATTTTAGTATTAACAAGCGATGCTGTGTGACAAATCAGCTGCTGTCTCACTTGATTTCCGATTTAGTTTTGAAATCGTATATTGCATAAATATTGAATATTTTTGTTTATCCTAAAATCAAGTCTTGAATATTGAATTGCCAAAGACAGACCAGTAAGTCCTAGTATGTGAAGTGTATGTTGGGCTACCATGCTTCCTGTCAAATACCACTGCCACTGAAGATGAGTTATACAGACAAATAGCCTGTAAACTAATATTATATTTTTTCCTCAAAGCATTCCAACAATTAATAGTTTGGGGGGTTTTATTGTCTTATTTTGCAGTTAGTTATGTTGAATAAAGCTGCTTGGCTTTTCTGTGTACTCACAGTTGAACGAAGAGGAGACAAACAACAGATTTAGGGCTAAAATTCCAGAGTAGAAATTCTGATTTTGTAGTTTTATACCAGTGTTGCGCTAGAGCCTATAGAGGATCACATTATGTTTCAGATTATGAAGTATCAATTGAATCAAAGAAGCAGCTAGAAATTTGGCATTTTCAGATTTATTACAGAGAAATACAGAGCTAAGTACTCTTTGAAAAATACTGTAAAAGAAGAATATATAGTCCTTTACTTTTTCCTTGCAACTAAACTTTTTATAATGTAGAAGCATTTTTTTTACAATTTGAAAAAGGACTACTACTGTTGTCTAACAACTCCTAAAAAATAAGTTAAGCAATGAATTGGCAGTGCCTCTTCGGACATTAAATAATAATGAAAGGGGCTAAGTACTCTTTGAAAAATACTGTAAAAGAAGAATATATAGTCCTTTACTTTTTCCTTGCAACTAAACTTTTTATAATGTAGAAGCATTTTTTTTACAATTTGAAAAAGGACTACTACTGTTGTCTAACAACTCCTAAAAAATAAGTTAAGCAATGAATTGGCAGTGCCTCTTCGGACATTAAATAATAATGAAAGGGCCGTTTTAAATATCTGAAATAAAAGAAAATATACTGACATTATTATAAGAAAATTTGGTTTCCAGATTTTGTTTAACTTTTACTGTTATGTACGAGAGGATTAAAAATTAGTTCCTACTGAACTCTTTGTAAGCAGCAAGAGAGTATAAAGTATAGCTGGATTAAGGTTGTACTTAGTCATACATTGCTAACCTTTGTGGAATCTGATGGTGATGTAATCAACTCCTGTATTTCTTGCTGAACAGGAAAGGTGAGAAATTTGGGGGATTTGTATCTGTGAAAAATAAGCATAGGGTAATAGGAGACTGTATAGATATCATACGGCCGCTTTTGGAGCTGTAGTTGTATCTTTTTGACTTAACCTGGCTTTACAGTGTAATGCCAGTTTTAACCTAGGCTGGGATTGTCTGTACCTCAGCCGGGTTTTGTCGGGGTAGCAGCGAGCGTTGCACTGCCATGCTGGGCTGCTGTTCATGCCCAGCTAACTTCTTTAAAACTAGCCCCTGTTCCTCTTTGCACTACTGAATCCGTCCTTGCATGGGTGTTTAGTCAGCATGCAGGAAAAAAGTTTGTGACCAGTTTTTTGCTTTTGGGTTTTTTTTGAAACTATATTCAGGTAGATTTAAGATAGGCTTTCCCACAACAATGTTCAGGATGATCTAACAACATAATTCGAGTAACATCAAAACACTATTAAAAATGGTTTTTTGTTGTTTTTTTTCCTCCATGTGAATATATAATAAGTTACGACTGTTTTCCATGTAAGCACAGTGAAGGTTGCCTAGTATTTTTAAAAATACCCCAAAATACTTTTCAGCCTGAAAAAAATTGCTGTCTAATGGTCCTAAAAGACATAAGCATTGCTTTCCTCAAATGACCAACATATTTGCACTGTAAAAGTACTTCTAGCTTGTCTCAAAATACTCATTTTATATTTTTATTTACATTAATCAGATGAATTGCATAATTGGACTTGTCGAGTGGTGAAAAAGATCTGTATTGGAGAAGCGGATTTCCTGACTCTTGTGCCTGGAAATAAGTCAACAAGAAACGTGAAATACGATGTTCTTGCTGCAGCAGTTATTGTAGTTGTGCTCAAATTATTGTTTTTATTAGATGATCACTATGAATGGTAAGTGTACAGGCAAATCTGTAGCAAAGCCCAAATTTCAAATAGTGCAAATGATTGTCTTGGATCATTTTTTCTTTAGTAATATTAAAGTTATAGTATTTGAATTTCGATTAAGTTCAGTAGCATAAAACATACACTGAAGGCATTTTAGACATTAAATATTACTACTTTTTAAAAATCATCAGTTTGAATCTGAAACTTGGAATAAAATTAGGGTGTTATTTTTGTCGGTTGTATCTGAACTTTATGTGAAAAGTGCAGTATTTGGATCTACAAAATAGCCTGTTTTTTATTTTTTTCCAGGTTACTTTCAGACTTTGCTGAAGAAAGCAATAAAAATAACAAAGAAGGTACATAAATATTCTAGTAGAAACAGTCTCATGATTTTGTAAATGAAATAACTTTGTAATCAGGCTTAGAAAGTCTTGTCTTATTGATCATTAAAATGTGTTTTTGTCATTTATTCTTTTAGGGCAAATCTTTATTCAAAGAAAACAGTAGATCTTGTTCACGTAAAATCATCTGTTTACCTGCATAATTCTTATTGTACTGGATAGGGGAATTTGGTACATATTTTGCTAGGTACCTTTCTGCTTCTTCTTGTGCATGTTTGCCTCTTGTTTTAGAATTTTATGCATGGCAGGTGAAGATGAATGGATACGCAGTAAAGAGGGGAGCGTACTTTGATCATAAATAGCAGATACTTAGTAGGGGCATCAAACCACGTTTATGATAAAATCCAAACTTGTTTAGTCTTGTTAAATAAAATGTCTTAGTGTGTAACATATTTCAGATGTAATCTATTTTCTTAGTCCAAATAATCCTGAGAGAGTGTGGAAAAGCTAGCAGCAATTAAGATAGAGAAGATAATGGTGTGAACGTGGTTCTTTGAGGGCAGAAAGACCAAATCACAGATTAGAAATCTTCAGGAAGATATTCCATGGCCTGATCCAGATCACAGTTGAAGATAAACCACTGTAACACATCTTTGATCTTATCTTTTAAGCCTTCCATCCAGTTTTGGGTCCATTTTGACCCTTCTGTTACTTTTTTAAAATTTAAGTCAGTAATAAAATCGGTGTTAGCCATGCGTGAGCACAATTACTGCTGTATCTAGAGATAGTCATCACTGTTAACTAAAACCGGTAATTCTCATTTTTCAAGTGGAAACACAAACTTATTTTGGATTTTTTTTTTTTCTTTTTCATTTCCCTTGAAAACTTGAAGTATGTAATAGTGACAAGAGTAGAAGTTGTGCAACTGCTTACAAGCTGAAGCTCAAAGCCATTAATGTCTTAATGGGGTTTCTCCCTTATTAACCAGTCTCATTGCCCTTGGGAATTAACAGCTCGTTCTTTGCCCACTTTTTTTACTTTAAAATCTGCTGGTGCAAAATGATCTATATGCTGTGTTATCTTGTCCCTATCCTTACAATGTTGGGGTGACGGTGAGCAGCTGCACAGAGGAGCTGATGTGAGAATTTCTGTTAGAGCACTGATTACTGCCAGAGCTCAAAACTGCCTCTGGCATTTTCCCAAAGTTAGCGTGCTGAAATGAATAATGGTTAATATTGAGTTTTAAAGATCAATTTATGTTGACTTCATTCTCAATTTAACTATCCTTTCTCTAATCTTTTTTTTTTTTATTAAAAAAATAGTATTTCAGCACCTACAGTTTTTCAAGACAGACTGGAAGCTGTACAGCAGAAAGCTGTAGTTACCTAGTGTGTTTGTGTGTGTATGTTCTATGAACTGCACACATACACAATACTGTTTATGTTAAAATAAAACATGTGACTGAGATGTATATATGTATGTGTGTGTATCACAGAGCTATGTATTTTCCAGTCAGCTCAGCTATATGAACATCAGAGTAGGAGTACTGGCCAGGTAAATGGTTATTACAGTGTAGTATCAAGTCTCTGGCAATGGTTTTGCTTGTAACAGATGCTTAATAATTCACAGGAAGTTTAATAAAAATTTCTTCCCGCCCCGACTGTCTTCCCAGCAGTTTGGGAGTACTTACTTAAACTTCTGGGTTTAAGGAGTTCATAAAAGAAGTTGTATCCACACCTTCGAATTTTAAGAACTACTGAAGGGTCTTTCTTCCCTTCATTTGTCTGTTGCTTTTTGAGTCCATCTGTGTTTCTAGCATCTAAGACATCCTGTGTCAGGATAACTTGAATAGCAAAAATGCAGATAATGCAAAACGTATACAAGCTTGATTTTAAGAACAGTATATTCACCTTCAAAACAGTTTAAACAGCTAGCTGGCAAAGCTAAGCATGATGTAAGCATTGCATGCAGTGCAGCTGGGGTGATGGGGAAATGCAAAGCCTGGTTAATTCACAATGCAGATAATCCACCCACGGATAATGACAGTTGATTATATTTTAAATATATAAATCTACACCATAGTTCTGTTTGGAATTCTTATACTTACTGTACCCAGTTGATCTACTTCAGTCCTGTGCCTCTTCGGAGCATCGATGATAAATGGGCTGCTAGAATGCCGTATGCCTTAATTTTTTTGCATGTGCTGGTAAATATTTGTTCACGTATCAGTGAGTGAAGTTCCTGTGCTCAAAAACATGGGAGGCTGATACGAAGTGAAAACAATCATCTAGTCCATCCTTCCTGCCCTGTAACATTTCATGGATAGTAGGATAGGCAGTGGGGAGTTGATGAAACTATTTGAAATCTTACATCTGAGCTTGGGTTTAGATCTTACTTGTTTAAACCTAAGCTTGGTGTATAGTTTCATTAATCCCTTGAAGTCAACTTTCAGACAGATGAAGGCCACTTCACACTGTGGAGATCTAGTTCATTTGGTAGAGAGGGGGTAGTTTCTAGGCTTAACTTTCAGAAAGGAGGGAAAAGCGTTGAATTGTGCTAAATCTATGAAAACTATTCTAAGCTAAGGAGCTTCTTTGCACTTATGCTGTTCTTTCACTGCATTTCTGTATTTCTCTTTTCTTACAGAATTGTTAGATCAAGTATGTCTTCTTAAAGCACATAGAATTCAGGATAGGTTTGCACACAGGTGGAAGATGCAGGGTCGAACTGTGTGGAGACCACCTTCTGTGTATTACATGTTTCTTTGACTTCTTCCCAACCTAAAATGTGAATGTTTTATTCAGGTCGTCCGTATTTTGAGTTCAAAAAGTGGTACAAGGTTATAAAATGTTCCTTGGATGTGGAGCAAAAGAAATTGGATGAAGAAAGAGCCAAGTAAGAGGTGTTCAAGTACTTTATCTTTTTTAAGGTAGACAGTTCTACGTGAAATCCTGACCCCCACAGAAATTAAAAAGATTAGGAATTTGCTTGACATTTCCATCCAGCAAGCTTGGGTGAATAGAGCGATTAAATCCCTATCTTAATTTTCTGTTTACACTCATAATGTTTATCCAGCATATTAATTAAATGCTCACTTTCTGTGACAAGTAGCTTATAGAACTGAACAATTAACTGATTACAGTAAATCTAGGCTTACATGCCTCAGTTTGCGTACTCTGAAAAAAGGCTTCCTAGATGTGTTGGCGGGGCAGTGGCTTTTAATAGCACTAACCATTAGATTATTTTGATTTTATTTTAATAGCTCTAGCAGTATTTGTAAGAAATTACTACTCTCTTACTTTTTTGCTCCAGCTTTCTTTTTCCTAACAATTCTTATGTACTGGTAGGTATCTGTGGAGATGTGAAAAGCCACTGTTTTATTCAGCCAAGAAGAAATCGAAAGTTCTTAAGAGAAGACGTGAGTAAACTCTGCCTCTTCCCAGCAACGCAGAAGTCTGCTCCAACTTTTCCCATCCTAGAAAATCTGCAGCCCTGATTGTGATAACATTTACATCTTAAAATACTTTCTCTCTTCCATCTCTGGGTACAATTAATGTAGTACTATTTTACAACCTGTGGCTGGAATTCTTCAAACAGACATTTTCCTCATGCTTAACTGAAATTGTCTTTGCCAGTCTTCCTAATGACCTACTGAACCTCATCTCCGAATGAGTACTTGGTCCTCATCTTCACTGGTTGGTCAGCTGCCTTTACATAACTGTGATCTTCGTGAATTGTTGTTGGTCTTCCATACTTTCCTGTCCCTTTTCTCCTTTACTTTCTCATATCCTTTGATATGGATATCCCAGTATGTCCTTTGGTAGACCTTGCACGTCCCTCTTCTCTCCCACTCTTTCTGGCGGTCTTCTATAGAAAGTGAGGAAGGCTTGTCTGAACGTGACTTTACTTGAATAGCTAGATATATGTGGTCAGAATGCAGGTACATCTACTTTATTTTACTAGCTCTAGAAGTACTTATAAGAAATTACTGTGTTTTACGTTGACATAAAAGCAAACAAACAAAACAACAAAACCCCCACTTATCTGTGGAATTATGGAAAACCAGAATTTTATTCAACCAAATTAGATCTGAAGTTCTTCATTCTACATTTAATAGTGTCTAGTAAGCAGCAGATATTTGGAGACACATGTTAAGCGTGCAAGTGATATTTTTCCCTTTATGTACTCTTCCAGTGTCTGGAAGTGACTGGTTCAGGAACTTCTAAACAAGTTGTATAATCCTATTTGGTTTGAGTAACTCATCTTGGATTTCTCTTTCAAGAATGCAACTGGGGTTTTTTGAATGTTCTTACTCTTCAAAATTCGGTAGGGTTGATCAGTCAAGTCATGTTCCGTAGAAAAATACGTTTAGGTTTATTTATTTCAAGCTGATCATTTGCTCAGATGTCCTTTAGTTCCTGCGTTTATAAGAAAAAGTGAATAATGATTCATTGTTCATAATTTCTGTGGCACTCTAGATTCCTCTTCTGGCTCTGCTTCTCTTCGCGCTAGAAGACAACCACTTAGATTATGGAGCTTTACCGCTGGCTGTTGCAAGCAGGAGTATCACATAATGCCATTGCAACTGGGCAAGATTAATCTTAAAACAAATTTAAAATAGTAGCGACAAAGAATACCTATGCAAAGAATGCTCTAGAACACTTGCATGCCCATACAGGTTTTCAGAAACCTTCCTCAGCCTTTGTTTTTGATGGTAGATTTTAGTGTCCTCTTGAAATGAATTAGTTTATTCAGATACAGGTCATAAAAAGAAGTTGAAGTTCCAACAACAGTGGTTTTTAACCTGTTTTTTATCCTAGGAAAACAAGGCTTAGGCGGTCATATTGTGTGTGTTGATTTATCATCATACCTTCTTTCCCTTCTCAGCCTCAGTAACTTATGAAAGTTAGTCGTTTTTTCACTAGCAGTGGGGAAAGGCAGAGTGGGGGGTTTTTTGTTGTTTTTTTCCCAGTTGAAATTTGCACTATGAAAAATTTAACCTTAAATCCATATGTGTATGAAACCAGACTTCCTTAATTCTGGTACACAGGAAACTACTCAAAAAATCTTAGCCCGTCTAAGTGATAGCATACGACCAGGTAAATATAGCGAAAGGCATCCTGGCATGTCTTCTATGAGAATAAAAATACCAGCAGTATCAAATGGATTTTACTATTTTTACTTGTAGAATCCTTTTGGAGTACCCCAGTATTAATATTATTAGGTATGAAAGACATGGCATTTTAAATTGTCTTTCAAAATCTTTTCCCTAAAACATGTTAGAGAGTTGAATTTTAAATGGAATGGGGGAGAGAACACACGGAACTTCAAGGTTTCTCAGTATTCCAAACAGAGGTTTAAAGAAAAAAGAAGTTAAAAAAAAAAAGGCACAAATAATACCCTGTTTTCTTCCTGTATTAACCACCTCTAAACAGTATTCTAATACTTAATGATTTTGCCTTGGTTTTTTGTTTCTATTTGTACAGAAATGGTTGTGAACTTACAAAATCAGTTTGGCAAGCTGTCTGGTTCAGTGCAACCTGCTGAAAAGCCAAAACCTTCAAGTTTTCAGTTAAGTTGGTCTGAAGAAAACACAGATGGGAGTTGTTTTCATGGGCATAGCCTGAAGGGAATTTTGCAAGAAAAATGTGGTTTACTTACAGCCATGAATCCTGCCTATTGGCTGTGTACAGTTAAACTATGTACTGAGAAGTAAGTATTCAAATTTTTGTTAAATACATTTTGGAAAGTTCTCCTGAAACTGTGCCATATATATATATATATATTTTTTTTTATTTTTTTTTTTTTTTTACAAATGACAACTATGGGGTGTGTACACAGCTATGTATTCACCTGTAGTTAAAATAATTTGTAGAAAGAGGCGTATGCAGAATGGTTAGTCTTGGATTGGGAGTAGACAAATTGTAATATGAAGAGTGATCAATGTGAGCTTTTGAGAAGAGGTGATGAGACAAAATCAACAACTAGAGTCACATGGCAGGAGTAGCAGCTAGATACAAATATTCACTTCACTTTCTTCTTCATAGTATTTTAGAAAAAAATCGCACCACAGCTTTCCAGAGAATGGGAAAACGGTTCCATTTCTCCCCTGCCCCCAAAAAAGCATAGGAAGTTAATTTTTTAAATCACTGTCCTCCTTTTGTGGTGGCCTTAATCAAAATTAAAGGTAAAATTAGCAGTTGGAGTTCAATAAGCAGGCAATTAATGCCTCCAGAAAATATTTTTTTAAAAAGTAATTACGAGGGAAAAGGACTCTATCACTATTTCGTCTAAGTATATCAGCAATCAACAGTTGTATTTTTTGCAAGCAGATAAGTAAAAGAAGAAATTTATTTTACTGGAAAAGTAAGAGAAGAAATATGGGAAAAGAAAACATTTTGTGCTATTAAGGAAGTTTAGTGTCTGTCTTCACTAGAGAACTGTTCCCAAATCCTGACTTTCACAAGTAAAAGAGAATTTTTTTTTTTCAATTAAAAGTATATCAAAACAGTCACGCTATTTGTTAGTAAAATTATTTTCTTTAAAGGACCTAAGTAGCAAGGAGAATGATAGGCCAGCTAATCCAGCCTGGTACAAAGATATAGAGATATTTCAGTTATCTGCCTGGTTTGTGTCGAACTTCCCACTCTTCCTTTAATATCTTCTCCTCTTGCGTCAAATTCTGCAAAAACTGGTGAGTTTTCTATTTGGTAAGTGCTGGCAGAGGACTGTGGCCAGAGACACAGAGCAAAAGCCCTCTGAGGGAGCGCAGGAGTTTGGCAGCATTTACTCCAAGGAATTGAAAATATCTAAAATAGTGTTTCTCACAAACTCCCTTGGTGGTGTAGATAAGGCTTCTGGATCATAAACCAGATTTTGGTTCTGCCATTGGTTGAATCATGAAATCCTAATCCAGAAAATGAGCGTACCGGTGGATATCAGTGAGATGAACTTCAAATTCTCCCAAATTTCTCGTGTGTGCAATTGGAGGGTGTTTTTTAGAAAAGAGGTCGGGGTACATTAATGTGAAATGAGATTTCATTAGCGCATTGAATAACATCTTAAATCTTTATCTGGTATATACTTCTAAATGTCATGCTTAAGAGAGCAACAGCCCCTACAAAAGCTTAGTGATACGTTCCTGATTTTTAAAACATTAAATATTCCCCTTGGAAATAACTGGCCTTTACATGTATGCAGTCTTTTCTGTCTTTCAGTGGATTTATTTGCTTATCTTTATTTTCCTTTTCACATTACCTTTCACATATCCACCATGACAGAAATGGGTTGGAATAATGTAAACACAGTGTTATATTACAAGAGCTTTGGTTGTATGGATTCATTCTTTTGTATGAATAAGAAGCTTTTTTTTCTGAAGGGAGGAGAGGTAATAATCCTTTTACCACAAATTTGCGTAAATCATATGTACACACTGAATGAGTTGGATATTTTGGTGTATGTTTGTGTGAATAATCTTTCATGCAAAGTCTGTTTTTAAGCCTACATTTTCATGTGTAATATATTAAAATGTTAATGGCAAACTGTCATAGCCTTCATGAAACAAGATTTGAATTTAAATTCTTACCAGTTAAATTTCCCATTATATCATTTGCAATGCAAGTAGTTAATTATACATCTGACACTTACTTAACTTTGGAAAACATCATCTACTCCCTCAGATACAAGGTTTTATCTTGTGCAAGTGTGTGTATGTGTAATAGAACTAAAACCAAAAATTCTCTTTCTCTAAAAATCAGCATGGTCTAACTGGGACTACTGAAATGCTTTAGTCCTAGGACTAAGGTATGATTTCACTGTGGGCAAAGCTGAGATCGATCAAATGGTTGGTAAAATGCTTTTACATTTTCTTTTATTTTAAAACTTTCAGTTTTAAACTGGATTCTAAATTGATGTGGTATAGAAGTCTTTAGGTGATATATGATGAGGTATTATAATGCATAAAAAATGTTGAGAAAAATGGATTTCACTTATTACATCTAAATTTAAAATCACTTCGGATTTTTTTAGCTCTTCAGAGATGCTCTTAGGGTAAATAGCACAGAATGGGGCAAAAATGTGTGTGCATTTAGGTACTCTTGTGAAAAGTGTAACTCCAGTTAATCAAATAGGTGCTTTACAGTATTGATGTAATTATGCATTTGCCTCAGAATATACAATATCACTCCCCTGCCCCCCCCCAATGAAAACTGAGATTTGACACCTAAGTTGCTATAAGAGCTGTAATTGCTGAATCTCAGGGTTAGGACTAAGACGTAGCAAAATGCCTTAATTCATATTAGCCCAAAAATGCAGATTTGGTTCAAGCAACAACATTTCTCAATGAAGCTCGAATTTAGCAAACGCGTTGGGTTGTGGGGTCAGCTAATTCATTCTGACACTGCTGAAATGTCTGATTTAATTTAGTTTTTTAAGAAGTCGCTGGCAGCTTTCAGGGAGTGTGAGGTAGGGCAGAGGATGGGATGTACGGTGCAAGAGACCTAGTTTCAGATTTCCAATCTGCCAGGCTTTGGGAGGCTTTAAACAAAGTCTGCTCCCCGAAGTGCAGCTTGTGTGGCACTCCAGGATGGTTCCATCTGTTCCTCCAGTTTGAGGTAAAATGTAAATGTTTGTTGGGCCAGAGGGAGAGAGCAAATTATTATTACTAGACTCTATAGTCTAGTAATTAGCACACTTGCCCATAAATTGGGACAGACAGGTTCCAGTCCTTGTTCTGGTGAATATTTAAGACCGCTGCTCTGAATCAGACAGAGGGGAAATTTTAAATTCTGCTTCTCCACATTCCGGGGCAATACCTAGTAAGCTAGAAGATGCATAGGGCTTACATCGTGAATAGCACCTAAATCCCTGTATCAATGTGAAAGATTTTTTTAAAAAATTGAAACACCTGGATTTTATACTATTTTAAACTTACCACTTTTAATAAAAACAAATTTGGGGCTAACCCAGAACAGGGTGTTTTTCCAACCTAAATTGCTGAACTTAATGTTTACGGAGCTCTCTCTGCAGTCTGTCCTCTGTGTCATCTTTTGTTCAGTCTGACACTTGTTACCAGCAAGTCCAGTCTGCTATTTTCATTATATACTTCATCAATAAAATCACCTCATCATTTTCATTAACATTTTCACTGTAAAAGCTACAAAATAATTAAGCAGAAGGCTGCTACATACAATGATTCCATTGACTTGAACTTAGCTTTTTTTTTTTCCTTGTTTCTAGACAGGTAATTTATATTTAGCCCACAAAAGCAATGGACAAGAAATGGATGGGTTATAATCCCATGGCATAGTGTCAGGAAGAGGAGAGGGCACCCTATGGAGAGTGTGGGCAAAGAATAAAGAGCCTGGGGTGTCTGCATTGCATAGTCTTACAAATTTTAAAAATCGGTTAAGGTAGCCATTTTCACACTCTGCAACACTTGCTAAAAGCTGGCAGAACGAACACTGGTTCAATTTAGTCCTGAAAGGGAAAGAATGTATTCTTTGCCTGGTTGAGTATGATCCTGATTCATAGTGCAAGAAGCTATACAGGGTTTTCCTTCTTACCATGTCTGCACCATCTCTGAACATGTCTTGGTCCGGTCCTCTACTTCAAGGTTTTGCAGGAGTGGATCCCTTCACAGAATCGACATTGTAGACCAGAATTGTGATTTATGGTGTTAATAAAATGTATAGTTTAATTACAATTAAATATATAAATGCTAGCTAAATACTAACTAAATACACTTATAATAATCCTAACTAAATACACTTATAATTTAGGGCTTCTTTTTTTTTTTCCCCCCTTTCTTTTCAGATTGTGTGGTCATCTGGCTCATTACAGAGAAGTGGACTTTCCCCAGAGTTACCATTTTGTACTAAGGTTATTCTCCTTTCTTCTGAGGATACAGCCCTCTTATATCCATGACGAGGTGTGTGTGATAGAACACAAACTTTTTAATAAAAAACTCTGTAAAAAGTCAAAATACAACACAGGCCTAAGGAAGTAAAAAGGCCTAAAAATAACAGTATTAAACCCATGTAAATTAGTTGGTTGGATCCCTTACCATTGTATTGCATCTAAACTTATACTGATCCTTTTGCCTGCATGGAAATTTTTTGTTAAGATAGTAGTGCCGAGATCTACTACTGTACTTTAGCTGTAGTGTCATTTTATCTATAATTTAAGTCACTGGTTTCCAGCTGGGAAGGTTACCAAGGACACTGTTTATCACAATTTATTTCCTCACTTTGCATCAGAGCCAACAGGAAGCTATGAAATTACCATTTTTTTGGCATAATCGTACATACTGTGAGTGTACTGGACAGCACGTTAACGTCTAATTACATTGTGAGATTTTTGCAATTAAAATATTATCTATTTTTTTACCTAGTGTTTTAGGACAGCAAATATATTTCTAGAAAGTAATGTTTACTTTGTTTTGAAATAGTGTGTTAACAAATAAAAGGACAGTTGGTTGATGTTTTCACTGCAGTGAGTTTTTTAGTCATTGTTTCTAAACAGGCTGTTCTGGAGCAACTCTGGCATTGTTTTCAACATTTCCTTGCATCCTGTCTATCTCCTAGTCTCTTATGTCTGAGCCTCTCATTCAAGTTAACACCTTTCAGGTCCATGTTCCACTCCAGGCTTCACACATTTTGCAGCTACTTTTATACCTGGAACTGCCCATCCTCTTTCTTGTGCAATGGTAACTGCCAGGTCCTCCTGTTATTCTTTTGCAAGGCTACTCTCATTTGAATTTCTTCTGACCGCTTTATAATCCAGCATCTTCAGCAGCTTGCGCCTCAGCCATTCTACTGGTTTCTCATGCTCAATCTTATTTATGCACTGTGTTTTTAAACTGTCCCAGACAACGTGTAAATGAAGTTGGGTGCTGCCACTACATTAAAGACACCATAACATATACATATGTTGAACAGAGATGTTGAGTAGATACCCAGATGAATAATGCTGCTTTCAGCTGAATGAAATAAAATTCAGCAACTCCAACCGTCAGTATGGAGTACAGAAGTTGCCAAATCTATTTGATCAAAACCAAAATCAACAGCTGTTTCTAAGCATTATTATAGACAAGAAGAATGGTGTCTGCAGACTTTAAAAAGAATAATAGCTTCCTTCCTGAGCAAGGGCTTCAGTGAGATGTAATCTGGGAAGGTAATCAGTTCAGCGAGTAGACTCTGAGTACGATGGAAGGGTTTAAAATCTGTTGCAGTTCAATACGTGAAGCTGTTGTCTAAAAATTGAGAACAGGCAAATGATAGGAGAGGAGATGTGCTGCCCTACCTGTCTGGAGCAAAGTGATAAAGCAGTATTTCAAGCACGGGTAGGGCAGACAGGACTATTAAAGGTAAGTTGTAATAGTTACTTGGAAATACTGGCAAACCAGGAGGCTTCGCTGGCTCAGTAGAGGCAGGAGGTAATTAAGCGTGGTGTCCTGAGTTAAGGTGACAGAAAAGACACTGTTTGGGTGAAAGTTTTTACTTTTTCCGATATTTTAAGTAGTTATGGTAGAACAGGGGTTTAGAGCAATGGTCCTATAGAGTGATTGTAACATGCAGATGCAATTTTAGCCATACAGAGCTGAACTGTGCTTGATGGGGGAAGAGGAAAGAGCAGACTGAGCTGTTACTTGTTGTATGTGTTAGAGATTTCATAAGTGGGTACAGTTTAGTATGTCTAAATTTGTTGCCACGTTTTGCTAGATACCTCAGACTTCTAACAAGATGTGTCTTGAACTGATGTTTACATTAACGGACTTGGAATATACCAATTCGAATCTCATCTTGTGTCTGGTGTTTATGTTTTAAAATTAGCCATTATCTATTATGTTTGACCTGACCTGAGTGAATTACTGAAGTTTGTAAATATTTGGTAAAATTATTCATTGCTTTTGTTTTAGATGAGTATTTGTATCAGTTAAAAATCAGTGTTTTCAACAGTGCTTGCTCAAGTGACTGAGTGTTTCATTCTTTTTACTATAACATCTGTTAAAAGTTTTGAATTAACTATCTAAAAGACACCTTATACATAAAGGATTCATTTAATTCAGAAGTCTTTATTTGAAAGACTTATGCACTTAATTATAGCTACACCTTTCTTTTAAAACTACTGTAGTAGTAAAATCTGAGCTTCATAAATTATAAATACTGTGCTCATTGTTACATTGTTACAAATGTAACAAAGCTCCCTTAGATGTTAGAATAAATTAAAGCTGTACTTTAATAAACTGGAATAAAGCTTGCAGTTAATGATCAAGAGCCATGTGCCTTCTGGACACATAGGTTAAGAGTCAGATTTAAAAGTAAAGGGTGTGCCCCTAAAATACTTAATGTTAGTTCTATCCAGTTTAATCAATCAACACTTATGTTGGAGTAATGATGTTTAAGAAGCTGACGAGCCACAAGAGTACCTTATCTTCAGTGAAGTGTAGTTGAGCTCTCCTGGGACAACTACTTTGGAGTCCAGTTAATATAACCCTGAGGTGGAGCCGCGCTGGTTGAACAGACAGCTACCGGCAGATAGCTGAAGGGTAGGGTGTCTGCCGCAACCCAGCAGTTCCAACCATCTCTTCTATCTACTTTTAAGTTACAGCTCCTTTTGTAACTATTTGCTGAAAATGTCTGGGGAAAGCACAACTTTCTGATAGCTGCTTTTTTGTACTTCTTCCCGTGGAAATTTTAAGTAAAGAGATTCGGTTTGTTTTCTTACTCTAAAAGTTGAATGAGAGTTCTTAAGTATATAGATAAAGGCAAGTGGTTTTTTTAGATTAAACTTTTTAAACATTATATATTGAGAAGATTTAGAATAGTTAAATAATTATTAACTTAGACAATAGCAAATCAGTTATTCTGAGACCTTGATGTGAATTTAGGCTTTCTCCTGTGTTATATTTTAACAGTTTTTTTCTATCTTTGAGTACAAAAGTAACCTTGCTTTATGAATTCTCCTAAATAATGCAACCTTTCTGTTGTTTCAGTGGAGAAATATGAGAGATGTCTCATTTTCTTTTGAAAGGTACAGCCTTCAGCAGAATTGGAATTTTACCTTACTAGTTTTTCACTACCTCAGTGTGTCTGCATTCTCAATATCAACTTAGTCTCAGTCAAATACATTTTTCTTTTTAAGGTTTTTACCATTTTCCAGACATGAAGGAGAGATGTTTGACTTTCTCCTTAACCTCTTACGCAGAGTGAGGGCCCTGAACCTGATTTAACCAGAGAATGAGAATCAGCAAAGCCCTATGCCTGCAAGTAATACTAGTCCTATTTATTGTCCATAATATGTTGTATGGACTTCACTGTAATTACATCTTTCCTAACCTATTTTTAGCATGACCCCTCAAACAATCATGTTTGGAAGCTTTGAGAAAGCTTTGTGCAATGTTGCAGGCAACGCAATGAATAACTTGCTTTCTCGTAACTTCCTGGGAAGCTCAAAAGACCCTTCCTCAAAATGACTTTTCTCCCTTTATGGACAAACAAGACTTTTGCTGATGGTCTTGAAAAATGATTTCAGGGTATTTATGGAAAGTTGTTAAGAGGATGCTTTTGCAGGGCTGGGAGCAAAAGGGCCAGATTTAGGACCCACAGGGCTTTTGGGAGAGGTAAACTCTGGAAATGTTAAGTCCCTGAATAAGTGTCTGCTCCCTGGTTCATCCATCCCTTCCCCATGTCAGGTTGAGTAAGTTTCATGCTGCTTCACTTGCAGAGAAAAGTCAGGATAACTTAGATTAATGAATCTCCTATTTTGATCCAAAATGACACGGGCTTCCCAGCACGTACAGTCATACATATGTCCTGGCTGAGCATGTTAGTATGTGCATTTGCCAAAGTAGTGTCTCTTGCTGCATTTGCCCTTGCACTAAATGCAGAATGCTTGCTCCGTCTCCTCCACAGTTACTGGTCTTGTTGCTCCTCACATGTGAAGCTCCTTTGTTCCTGGCCAGATTAGATGAGGGAGAGCATAAAGGGGATGCCAAGATGTGGAAACAGGCATACGTGAAAGAGCTTTCCTCACCGCTGCTTGTGCTAGGATGCTGCCGAAACGGTGAACAAGAGAGTGAGTAAGGATTGGCAGAACAGGAGATGATGAATGCTTGTGTCCTCACGTGAGGTTATAGCTGCCCTTGTACAACTGCTAATGGCAGCATTTCCAGAGCCAGAACACTCCTCCGTGATCCTCAGCATCTATACTCTGCCTCCGGCAGTAAATCAGGTAGTTTTAAAAGAAAGTACAAGCACATTCCTCTAATAATCTCATATGGTTGCTCTGTATTGTAGAAGTATTGTGTGTCTGCTCACCATTGTCCTAGCAGTGGCTTTGCTCATCGGCAGCAGACCCTGCCATTGCCTCGTGAGAATGCCATGGAGTGTGTTTAGCATCTATGTTGCGATCTGAAAGCTTGATCTGGATCCTGGGGTGCTTCCGTGTTGCCTTTTCATGGGGGGACACCTGCGGTGGCTGTTTGAGCAAGCATTGCCTGCCTCTGACAGGGCTGCCTGAGGGGTGCGGAGTAGAGGCTGCTGCGAGGGAGAGGGGTGAAGACACCACCTCTTTACAGGCCCAGGGAAGAGAAGGGTGTCCTAGAACTACATCCAAGTGCCCCAGCTCTCAAGGCCAGGATATCAGACTGCAGAGCTAGTGGGTTCCTGGTGAGCCATCAGCTCCTCGCAAGCTAGGCAGGCTTAACGTCTGCAGGCAGGCTGGTTCTTGTGCTTCTGAGCAGGACTTCAACTGTGGTCCCTCAACATGGTGCAGCAGGGCTCCCCATGACCGCTGCTTGCAACTTGCTCTGACGCTAGGATGTGAAGGAATCCACCTGGCCCTGGATCTCATCAGCACAGTAAGTCGTGCTATGTTGATATAAGATTGTGACAAAACATTTGTTTACTGAACTGAGATCGTGGCGTTCGTAACTCCTAACTGGGCAGCTGGGTGGTTTCCATGCTGTGGAGCAAAGCGGATTAGGCAGAGAACAGTGTGCAGCCAAAGAGCTGCACACGCTGTTCTGCTACACCACTATCGGCCTGTGCAGCAGGACCTATGTACGCAGAAGTCAAACCCAGAGGAAGCACAATATTGAGCAGAGACGAGAAACGTTCAGTGAGACTGGTTAGCATGCTAAAGATTTTATTGTTGATAAAATTCTAGGCTTCAGGCTGACTTCTTTTTTTAATATATAGGCTACCGCAAAATTGATTCATTTATGTTGTAGTAATTTCAGAGCGTCCTCAGTCAGGCTGATGGAGCTGCATCTCCTGCCCCTGAATAGTCTGTATGCTCTCAACAGTTTCTATGTTATCTTTAGGGCTAACTACACAATTAAAAAGGGAATCTTTAAGGAATTCCTGCAAGATTGCATATAGGGATATGACTGAAGTGAAAACCAAAATGTTTCTTTTTCCATTCTGTATTTCATATGTTGTGCTTTCATTTATTTATTTAGCCTTTTTTTCCCCCCAGCTCTTTCCACCTCTTTCCTACAAGGCATTTCCATCTTCCTTTTCCATTGTCACTTGTCTTTCTATTTCTTTCCATTGTGCCTGCTTTCACCTCACTTCCTAGTGAGTTCATGAACCTCTGCCTGGGCTTTTCTCTTTTTTCTTCAGCCCTTTGATGCCTTCAGGCTAATTCTGCGGGGTCAGTGATCAGCTTCGGGCTTACTTTTCCAGTTCTATCGTTAGTGACCACAGGCCTGTTGCAGAAGAGAAAAGCTTGCCTGGTGTGCTGCATAATGGAGAGAAGTATAAAAGATTCACTGCTCTTTACAGCCAGCTCTGTAGCCTGGCCCTTGCATCTTAGGGGTTCAGATTAAGTAGAAAGTATCTTGTTTTGACTCCCTGCCGTGTTTTGTGAAATCAAAAGTACTGTTACAAACTTGATGCAACCTGTTTGTTTATTACACAGGTGTGAATGGCCAGTGCATGTAGATGATAATTATCAGGTATGAGATTTTAAAACCCTATTTGTTAGGTAAGTCCTAACAGTAGCTAATCCTTGTCTAGAATAATTCCCAGTTTCTTTACATAGCGACGTCAAAAGACAGACTAGGAAGAGGCGCAAGCACATTGAGACAATGCTCGGCCAGATGGTTGCAAATAGTATGTGAGTTCAGTGGGGTTCATTGCATGTTTAAAATTCACGTTAAATTCATTTAAAAGGAAACAAATACATGAAGAGGGGAAGGAGAATGCTGAAGGCAGGACCGAGGCAGAGGGAAAGGTAAAGGAAAGGGCATGAGAGGTGGAGGAGAGCAGTGAGGTCAAGATGAAAGGGCTGAGCGAGGGAAGAAGTTGGAGTGAACGCCAGTCAGCGCAGGGCAAGGGAAGTCCTGCCAGAGTGCTGCCGCATCAGGCTGGCATGGCTTTATGCCCAAGCCAAAGCTCTGCTAAATCCCTTTGTGCTTCTTGCCTGATTTTATTCAGCGATGATGCAACCTGGTTAGTGACATCACAGAAATACACCTATATAAGTGGTGTTACAGAGTCTAGATTGTGACCGGCAGATTAGTCAGCGGTGTCACAATCCGGTGTTTATATCATTGTCTCCTGAATATGGAAGTGATTGCTATGTTGATAACTTAAGTTTTCATCGGTGGATCAGGCTGTTAAGAAAAGCCGTCCCCTTTGCAGAGGCAACAGCTTTGATTTATTTGGAATAAAATCACGGTAAATTCTAGTTAAGTAGAAATCCCAAGTGTGGCACATTACAAAGATTTTAGCAATTCGGGTGCAATGTAAACATGTGACTGAACTTCAGCACGTACTGCATCTGGGTCACTTACAGCTACAGGGTAGTATTATATTTTATTGTTTCTGAAAAGTATGCACGTGTGCCAAAAAACAGTGATTGTGTCTGCACATCCCAGAATTCTACGAACAGAAGTAGGGAGCATGAGGAGTGAATAACACCTGAGAAAATTAGCAGTCCTTTCCAATACTTGCAATTTTGAGCTGGTTTTGTAGTTTGTATTGGAAACAAAGCAAGTTATACTTGTTTGGAAAAATGTAATTTTTCTGACATCTTAATTATATGACAGTATTTTTTTCATATGTGGGAGCAGATAAGAAATCTTATTCTACGTAATCTCAAATTAGATTTTAAAATGGATTAAAAATATAGAATACCTTTTATTGAATGTCATAAAGAACAATTTACATCAGTTCATTTCACTTTGGAGGGCAAGATCCTACTTCAGTAATGATATTTAACTTTTGCCATCCTAATGGCAGTGTTTGCAGATCCAAACAAAGCATTTTGTTTCTAGAACACTAGTTGTAATACAGTCAGAGGAAATTAAGCAACTTTCAGGATTAGACCCTTAGTGAAAGTTTGTTCCCTTTAGTTTCGTATTTCCTTCGGTTGGCTGCTTGAATTATACCCTAATGCAAAATTATAGAAGGACATCCTGAACAAATAGGGAAGAGATTTTGACCTAGGATGAGAGACCTCTTATTAGTGTGCGTACTTTTAAATTACAGTAGCTATCTGAAGCATCTTGACATATGATAGATAGCATTGTTGCTATATGGGTTTGATTCAACTTGTTACTTAAACAAGCAACCTCCCACCCTTATTTCTCAAGGAGAAACTTAAGATCTGATTTAAATTTGTGCGTGCCACTTTGGATATATCCAATGCATTCGTAATGTTGCTGCTGCTGTTAAACCAGAGGATTTAGATGCACTTCTAGCAATAAGTCCATCGTAAACCTCCCTTTCTCTCCAAACCTGGGTTCATTTATGAGGCACGTAACGATGCTAGGATCCACTGTACCTTGGCAGTTGACGCAGTGCTCGTGCAAATTAATGCACCTTGTGCCGTTTTTAGACATTCCTAAAAATGGGTTTAGTGTAGGAAGAAATAAGGTTATATGGGAGGGGAGAGGGAGAAGGGAAACCCATTTTTAGTACGAAAACGAAACCAGGGTGATTCCCGCGTACCCTACCGTGAGTCCTAGCCAGGGCTGGGGCCCCGTGAGGCGATACCCCTCCAGCGTGGCCCCGGGCCTTAGGGCGGAGCGGGACGGGGCGCTCGGAGAGCCCTCGCGTACTGCGGCCGGGCGAAGAGGGCTGGGGACTCCGGTGCAAGCTGCGGCGCCAGCGCCTCGGCCCCCGTGAACGCTGTACGTGCAGGGAAGAGCTGAAACCGGGGGGGAGAAGTTGTTTTTTTTTCCTCGGGAAATCGGCCTTTGACAGCGGGGTGCGCTGCCGGGGGGGGGGCGCCGGGCCCCAGGGCGGCCCCTAACCGTGGGGGAGCTCCTTCCCCGCGAAGTTTTA